CAAACGAAATAATTAATTTGACCCATTTGTGATAAAGTCGGCGGCCTTAATAAGATTGCCATTCCTGGCCCATTGTCCATCATTAGCAGATAACACTGGCAGGCACCTGTTTTTACTGGTGAGGTTGACCCTCGAAATGACCGTTTTCCTCATAGAAAGAGTAAATGAAACAGTCCATACCCACCCCGACCGTAGTAACATGTATGAACCAATCTTCCAATCTTGCATTGTGTGCAGGTTCCCAAACAGTATAAGCTTAGCAAAGATACAGACGGTACTCCACACTCGAACATCCCTCGTGACATTGGTATTCGTGCTATAATATACCTGCCATGGTGAAACTTAGCCCACACCCACCACGCCACTGTCCATGCTGTGTTATTCACGTCCTTTCCAAAACGATAAACAGTCCATTCTGCATATGGTTCTGTGCACCCATGGCTAGCAGATCAATCACCAAATGAATCTATCGGGCGAAGTTGGAGTCTCAAAGTACCGTAAACTAGTTATCCCGTGGTTCGCAGCAGCCACTGCACCGTGAGGCCTTTTGGATTATAGGAAATTGTCCTGCGGTTTAAATTTTGGAACTACAAAGCCGACTTCCCCTCCTATCCTATGTAACATTCCGATGACTAATCACAATTTTCACTTATATCCTTATTCTTTCTTCCGTTCCATGGCAAAGTCAGGAAAATCATACATTCCTTTTTGGCATTTAGAAGATACCATAGAATACGGATAAAAAATTGGTATGGATAGGAGCCAGACTGTTGGATGAAAATCATTGTTTTCACTTTCTTGTAACTGAATGCTATTTTAAGTTAAGAATAATTTGTTGTTTTTTTTTTTAAATTTTGTGTGACTTTCAGTTCAAAATGAAAAGAAACCCAACGGACCCCCTGCCTGTATTTGAAGGGCTTCGAGAAAATTCTGATTGGGTAGCAACAGACCTGGGTGAGATTCTATGTTTTACACTAACTGAATTGCTCAGATTATTGCTCGGCCGATTCGACCAGAGCCAAATAAGCCTCTTGTTTGATAGCTTAGCTTGAAATAAACGAATGTGCGACAGAAGACACCCTCCGTGGTAGTTGACCCAGGCTAT